ATTATTGTTAGATGGTAAGTGCGGTGAGAACGACAAGTGATATGAACAATTTTTGCAAAAATTCCCTCTTTTATAGCATTAATTTCCTCAGATATATGCAAATTTTCATGTAACATTATGTCTTTGTGCTTGTGTATGTGTTTTTGAGTCTTCGATAAACGCAGAAACGCACACTGATGAAAAGGTTTGTGTGCTGCTTTTATATGTGTATGTATGTTTGTATGTATGTATGCATGTATGTATGTATGCATGTATGTATGTATATATGTATGTATGTGTGCATGTATGCATGTATGTATGTATATATGTATGTATTTATGTATGTATGTGTGTATGTATGTATGCATGCATGTATGTTTGCATGTGCGCATGTATGTATGTATGCATGTTTGTATGTATGTATGTATGTGCGGATGGATAGATGTATGGTTGGATGGATGAATGAATGGATGGATGGATGTATATACATACGTATGTGTATTTGTCTGCGTATGTTTCTCCGGACAAACATGAAAGCAGAATTCAGAAACATTGCCTTTATTTTACAATTCTTGTGGAAATAGGTATAAAAAAATGTCTAAATCAGGATACTTCTGTAAAATTAGATAGAAGTGAAATTAAAAATTCTGGATTTCGCTAAATCGCAAAATTCCGACAGATTCAGTTTTGAATAAACGCTGCCCACAGAACTATGTAATCACATCTTCATAGAATCAGAATAAATTCTAATGCATGACGAGCAGTGAGTTCGAAATTTTTGTGCTTTTCATGCTATGGATTGGTCAAAAGATACAACCACACCCGAGCGTGAGGCAGTTCACCCACGCTGGATCTGCCGCCACATACCGCAAAGAAATGGGGATTTTCGAAAGACACAGTAGGCAAGAAAGCTTCTGTTTTTTGGAATTTTGATCAGCTGTGGTTTTATCACTGCATTCTTTCTTCCCACCGATGCTGTAGTTGGCATGCTCACTTTTGAGTTTGCCGTATTCATCATTTTTGTACGCCACTAAAGGGTTTAGTGGATGCTCAAATGCTAACTAGGACATTCGCCATTAACATGCTTAAATTCTTCATCAAACAGCCCGTCTGCGCAGGCTACCTCCTGGTAAAACACAAGCATTCCCCTTGAGTTCACACCATCGCAGATCTCCGACTTTAAGTTCCTAAACTAGCGTGTTGAAATCTTGGAATTTGGGTTTGTAACAGCACTATACGCTGCACAAATGAAGCAATTTACTGCGAAAACTGCAATGTTAAGAACAGTCACAATAATACTAATAATAATAAAAATCATAATATCTGTGTGAGCAATAATGCAATGTCTTCTGCAAGCAAAAATCAAACTGTATAGTACAACGACAAATGCGGAGCGGAACAGCTGCAAATTTTTCTGTTTTAAAGAATTATTAGCGGTTTGAATTAATACTGCAAGTGCGATTATGCGCTTTTGCGCAGTTTCTTACAACAGTACGATCGTTAACAGTAAGAACGCTTGCTGCTACACAATCTGATATGTACACTCGTGTTGGAGATATTGCTGGTCTTTTTTTGCAAATTCGAGAGACGAGCATTTACTGAGTAGTGTAGTTTTGCACCAAGGCCTCGTGGAATTCTAACTTTCCAGCATTTTTGACTAACATAAGCGAATGCCGAAAAATTTGCTGACAGGACTTTGACTTTTCGCGCTGTGGACGTGGATGTTTGTGGAACCTACTTCTTTTCTTCTGGAATCGCAAACAGATAAGTGACATTTTCGTAAAATTTCAGCCTTCTAGCTGTTCTGGTTTCCAAAAAAAGACTGTCAATAATTTTGCAAAACTAAGCATCTGAAATGCTTCAGTGAGACACACGAATACACGAAAGCAAATTTAACGCTTCTTAGCCCACACGCACTATATCTTCATAAGCCACAGCTCATGCTGCCACGAGTTGCAAAGGTCCTAGCAGTGTCTCAGCTTGAATTCCCATTTGCGTATGTTGAGACCTAGGCTTGTCTCAATATTGTGTTTTAAATTTCTGGATGGTATGTGGATAAGGAGCACACGACTTTAGCTTCCTAGCTCTAACGAAATCGTTTCCCGTAAGAAATGTCTTTAATACACTCGTTAAATGTGGAGTAGGCATGAATTACTGCCAGATTTAAAATTTTTAAAACACATGGATTGAAGAAATCCACGTTAAACTTCCTATTTTCTCTGATTGCTGAGTTGAAAATGGGTGGTTCAATCCAGAAACATTCACACACACACACACGCGCACACACACACGCACACACACACACGCACACACACACACGCACACACACACGCACACACACACACGCACGCACACACACACACACACACACAACGCCTCATGGGTGGGCGCTTTTTCATTCATCAGTAGCGCTTTATGCGTAAAAGTGATAGCGGAATTGGGCTGACT